CTCAAGCAGTGTTTGGAGCTTTAATATGTTTCAAGTATGCCACCTTAGTGTGAGAGGTTAAGCTTTATTCCTTTGTCCAGGGGTTAGCATATTGTGGCCTTCATACACAGTTTAGGAGCTCAGTGGCATTCACATCAGAGTTAGATACATGTCACTTGCAAAAATATCAGGTCTGACAAAAAAGATCATAAGCATCAAGGCCTGTATTATGAATGTAGTAATAGTGATGTCAACAGGGTTTTCTTATCCTGGGCATGGAGACTACGCAATTACTCCAAAATTTTGAGTCCACACTTAGTCCATATATCTGTGTTACAGCAGCCTGTCCTCATTCCCAGGGCTTCAGCTCCTGATGATATGCCAAGTACCTTTAGGGTGTCATACCTTTGGTGTTCGTATGAGACTCATGGGGTTTTCAGTAGAGTATCCACTCATGTAAGTATTTGATGCTGAGAGCTAGAATGTCAAAACACCCACATCCATTACTTTCTGTGTATCCCTGCATTTTGGTTTTGGCTTGCATCATTGAGGGTTCACTCTCATGAGAAAAGCTCTAATATTTTTTAAGACATTCTGTGGTGTTTTAAAAATTGCTTTCACTTCCCCAATCAGCACATCCCAGAAACTGTACCCTGACTGTTTCTCTGTCTACATGACATTTGTGGTGTATGCTACAGGTACTGTACTGTTGGTCAGAAAAAAGAAATAATCTGAAGAAGTCATCAGCTTTATTTTCTGGCATTTTATGATTCATCAGTTAATCAAGGAGATGACTTGCAGATTCATCTATATTAAAAATAATCACTGCCTGCAGCCCAAAATATTTCATTGTTGGAAATAGTATTTTGACAAAAAAGCTTAACACAAGGTCTGCTTATTAGCTCTTTTCGACAGCATCTCAGTTTTCAGCGGAAGGTAAACGTAGCTGATTTGGGGAATATAGTTTTTAGAGACACTTCTGCCATGACTATAACAGAAGTGAGGCCATGAGACAAAACAACTGGAGAGGATTGTGAGGTGTCATTAAAAACGATAATAGGATTAGCTTCATCAGTGGTATACCTCATTAAAATGTGTTTGGAGTTAATATAGAAAAGGCAACAGTGTCACACCTTCTCCCACTATGCTGCCAACCAGCACCTGCTCCCTTTGTGACTGATAACCCAAGAAAACAAATAAGGCGCATTTTAACATTTCATCATCTAGTTTCTAAATAATACTATGGGTAACCCGCTATTGGTTGGTGAATCGTGACCGTCGTGCCACATCTCACTGATACTGAGAACACTTAAAAGCAAAAGCGTTTAGAAAGCCGCTTTTTGTATTGCACACACGCAGGTGGGACGATGAACAGCACGTTTCCTAGAAATGAAGGTGTGGGGGTTTGAGAATGGCAAAAGCCTGTCATATCTCTGGAGGGTAATGGGCCGAACATATATGTACGGGATATTACGCCTAGGTAAGCATGCTTATGCTGACGCTGTGGGAGGACGTGACACACATGCAGGATTTGGGAGTATCTTCCCAGCGGTGGATGAGGTAATGTTTAAACCAGACGCAGAGTACGTCTCCCTACTGCATCGCACTGAAGCTTTTGTTGCCTGACAACTAACGTTAATTTAAATGTTCTCTTTCCTCCCTCTGAATCATTACCGCCATATTAACACATGTTCCTTAAGCCTATTCTCTCAAAGTAAACTTCAGCATGTATATCTAACGATGCTGTACCATATTTCTGGAAAGTCAATTTCTTCCACTGGCTGCCCTACTGGAGCTGCCCGGTGGCTGCAGACCAGATAAAGGTTGTATATAGGAACAGATTCAGACACTGCAGCATTTCAGCATTTCAAATAATGAGATGAACTTTCACCATATTCACTAGTCTATAATCTAATGGGAATATACACCTTGAACAGCAATGTTTTGCTGTAAGAGACAAGAGAATAATTCAAAACACTAATTTACAGTCTAACCTGGTGGGGGGTTCATGTTTCCTAGTTTTCGTGGATTTTCCGTTGGAAATTTCATCTTGATTCAGTGGCTCTTAGTGCTGCTGTTGAGGGAAATCTCTTTAATCTCTCAGGATCCCGTCAGTCGATCCTGCTGTCTTTAACCGAGAGAGGTTGGTGAACGGAAAGCAGTAAAAACACATTATCCGCGGCGTGTGGTCCTCCTGTAGTGGGCGAGATGCTGCTTGGATGCAACTCCTCTTCTCCTTCCACCTACAGCGGTCTTCAGGCGCGGACACCCACTGCTCGCTGCATCCTCATCTGCATTATGTGGTAGGAATTAGTGTTGGCGTACGCAGGGGGAGATATCCCATCGATCAATCTAACGTTTACATTGTGATATATGTTTCTACTGTGTATTTTAAAAGGATGCAGTGGATATACACCGCAAATCATAAGGATCCGCCTTTTTCCGAAGCTGCTTTTCGTGTGCTTTGGCTGTATCTCCACGCCGTGGCGTGCCAGGCAAATGCGCAATACAAGACACGACGTCAGTTTACTGAAATATAACAGCTCGCCTGCAGGAGAGTAAAGTGCAAAGTAGGCTATCAGTGCTCACTTGGGCAAATAAAAGAAAGAAAGAAGTCTGTCAGCTTATTTGATTAATAACTTTATTATTTTGTTCCTATTTTTCGTCATTGTTTCATTATACTGTAGTTGTCACTGAAGTCAAATATGCTATGAAACTGGTGGCGTCTCAGTGGACAGGCTGTCCTCAGGAACAATCATAAGTACTTCCTTATTGTATTAAATAATGAGGAGTAACTAGAAAACAGTGGGAGATCAGTAAATCATTAATAGTTAACAGTTCATAATGATTTATGGCTAAGTTGAAAATACTCCCCACTTCCTTCATGAGTTGATCTTGATTAGGCTACTTGTGATTCAGACATTGTATGGCACAAAAGTAACTTTTGCTTTGTTTGGGGGCATTTGATATTTTCCTGAAATCTTAAAGCAGTAGCCAGTGCATGTTGTGTTTTGGAGGAATAGCTTTGGAGAGAAGTCAGAATGAAAGGGTGAGATTTCTTCAGTCATCTACTTGAAAATCAAACTTCCTCTTCGTGGTTTTTCCAGGATTGCGAGCCCTACTTTTAATCACAAGGCTCTGTTGTATTTTAAAGACTGTACAATCCTAACACAGCACTTTACTCTTGGGGTGCAGGTCTGCTTGCGGTTCCTAGAGTTCAGTTAAATTCAACTGAATTCATTTCAAATCATTTTTATTTATATAACACCAGCTCACAACAAAAATCATCTTAAGGCACTTTACACAAACAAAAACACAACAAATGTCCCTTGGTGTTAGTGGAGAGGAAGAACTCCCTTTAAAGGAAGAAACTTCTGACAGACTCTGGCTCTTGGTGAGCGGCCCTCTGCCTCAACCAGTTGGGGTGAATGGATAGAGGAGAGAGAGAAGAAAAGCATCAGGACACAACAAACAAACACTTGGCAGGTTGATGTGGCCAGTGACGGCTCATCAGAGACATACAGCTCCAGAGCCAGGGCTACCTGCAGAAAGGTACAGGGAGAGAGAGACAGAGAACATGCTCTACAGGAGGGAGGAGACACAAAGTTGGTAACATGTAATGGTGGCATATAGATGCATGCAGAGGAGAGGTGAGGAGCTCCGGGCATCATGGGGGGCTCCCAGCAGTCTAGGCCTACAGCAGCATAACTAAGAGAAGGCTCAGGGGCACCTTAGCCAGTCTTACCTATAAGCTTTAACAAAAAGGAAAGTCTAATTTTAAAGGTAGAGAAGGTGTCCACCTCCTGAACTGAGACTAGGAGCTGGTTCCACAGGAGAGGAGCTTGATAGCTAAAACGTTTGCCTCCCATTCTACTTCTGTGGACTCTAGGAACCACAAGTAGACCTGCACTCTGAGAGTGAAGCACTCTTTTGAGATGATAAGGCTCTGTGAGGTCTTTAAGATATGATGGAGCTGTTTTATCATTAATACAACTTTTATTGCATAAATCTGGATTTGCTATGAGCCAGTGCACAGCCACTTTCCATTGTGTGTGTGTAGCCTGTATTTTATGCATGTATAATTTGCCTACATAATTATCATTTCTTTCATAGAGAAATATGGTACTGTATGTTCATCAAAATATAAAGAATATTTTTATAATCACATAGGAAAACACACACAACCAATTTTACAGTAGGTATATCAAGATCAAAGATTTTTTATTGTCAATTCACTATATGTGCAGGACATACAGAAAAATCAAAATACCATTTCTCTGTCACCTAACATTGCATGCCCATACCATTTAAGAAACTAAAATAGAATAAAAGTAGAATAAACACAGAAAAAAAGAATATGAAAACCGAACTCAAGTTCTTAGGATAAAACTAAATGGTACAACCTAATAGGCTATGAAGAAACTCAAAACCATGTGCAAACAGTGACAGTAGTGCAAATAATAACAAGAAGATTGTCAGGTGGTTAGCATCACCAGGATGATAACCACCTGGATAGAGCAGCCGTCTCCCAACCGGAGGGGTGGAGGTTCGAATCTTGGTGCCTGCAGTCTATGTGTCGAAGTGTCCTTGGACAAAACACTGAACCCCCAAGTTGCCCCCGATGGTTAGAGCCATCGCTTGTGTTGGCGCCGCAGATGGCTGCCATAGGTTCTGTACCAGAAACAAATTCCTTGTGTGTAACATACTTGGCCAATAAAGGTGATTATCCTTATATAGACAGTAGTGCAAATGACTAACAGCAGCAGATATGACGTTAAAAAACAGTCAGCAGCAGATTTACATATAATATAACAAAAAGGCTTGGTAATGGACAGCGTTCAGCATCCTCACAGCCTGGTGGATAAAGCTGTTTGTAAGTCTGGTGGAGTGAGCCTGAAGACTCCAATACCTTCTCCCTGAAGTGGGAGTGTGAGGGGCGGGAGGTGTCATCAGCAATGCTGATGGCTCTGCGGGTGAGGCGAGTGTTAAAAATGTCCATGAGGGAAGGCAGAGGGGCACCGATGATCTTGCTGGCTGTTTTCACTATGCATTGCAGAGTCCTTCTGCAGGACAGCACAGCCTCCATACCGCACAGTGATGCAGCCAGTGATGATGCTCTGAATGGTGCCCCGGTAGAAAGAGCGCATGTTTTTGGCATGTTTGACCCTTCTTGGCCAGTAATGTGGTGTTGTTGGTCCAGGAGAGGTCCTCAGAGATGTGCACCCCAGGAACTTGGTGCTGCTCACTCTCTCCACCACAGCACCGTTAATGGTCAGTGGGGGATACTTTAGAGGTTTTCTCCTGAAGTCCACAACAATCTCTTTAGTCTTCCTCACCCTGAGGAAGAGGTTTTTGTCCTTACACCACTAGATCAGTTGACACACCTCACTCCTGTAGTTGCCTCATCATTGTTGGTAATGAGGCAACTACAGTTGTGTCACCTGCAAACTTGACAATGTGGTTGGTGTTGTAGGTTGGCACACAGTCGTGGGTCAGCAATGTGAAGAGCAATGGGCTGAGCACACACCCGTGTGGAGCCCCTGTGCTCCACATATATCATTTATACAGATCTTTTACATACAGTATGTGTGTTTAGGGTGGTGTAACCTAAAACCTTGTGGTCAGAAGCACAGCAGACTTTGTATTTTATTGAGCTGACAGTTCCCTGTGAGAATGCTGTAGATACAGCTTATGAGAGGAAGAACCTGAAATACAAAGAATTAGCCATGGAGGCAGAGGAGCATTGCTGGAAAGTTAAAGTCCTCCCTGTGGAGGTTAGCTTAGAGGACTGGTAGTCAAGTCAGCTGTCTCTCTGCTAGGCGAGGTGGGTATAAAAGGGTGGAGCCTAAGACAGATAATTAGGAAACTAGCTGATTGCACAGCAAGGTCCAGTGAGCGGTTCTGGACTATCTGTTACAGTGGCACCTGTCGGTGAGTGGGGTATATTAAGCAGCAAGTTAACATTCAGTCCTCAAAGTTGATGTGTTGGAAGCAGGACAAATGGGCAAGAGTAAGGATCTGAGTGACTTTGACAAAGGCCAAACTGTGATGGTGAGATGACTGGGTCAGAGCATCTCCCACACTGCAGGTCTTGGTGGGTGTTCTTGGTCTGAAGTGGTTAGTACCTACCAACAGTGTCTAGGGAAGGACAAATGGTGAACTGGCGACAGGGTCATGAATGCCCATGGCTCACTGATGATGAGGTTGACCTGCTGTAGATTAAACTTTTAACTTCCATTTGTACTTTTCAAAAGATTAAAATTGATTTAAATCTTTGTTCAAATGTTTTAAATTGATAAATACTGTACATTGGTCTCTATGAAGAGAAAGAGTCAGGGGCTGTAGTGGTGATATCACACCTAGAGTGGTGAGGTTGTTGAATTTGTCTAAAAAATTCTCTCTAACTTGTCCTCATGACCAAGGTTTTCAATCCTTTTTCATAAGTTTTTCACTGAATTGAAGACACCTCTGTGCTCTTCCTGACAGTAGAACTGTGGAAGCAGAAGCTATGTGCTTCAACCAGTATTGGTGCACAGAAGATGCACAGTGAGCTGCAGAGTGACACGAGTGCCAACCAACTGCCATATTGACTCCTATGTAAACAGCATTAGGCAGGTGGTCATAATGTTATGCCTGATCAGTGTATGTGTGGATTATGTCTGCTAAGATGAAGTAAACTAGCATAGGAGGACAGGCTTAACCAAAATGTTTGATACATGCAGCAGGCTTGAGGCCTACTTCCTGGTGTTAGCATGAGCACACTAACATTAACGTAGAGGTTTGGCTGGTTTGTTGGCATGAATACCAACATAGTTTGGATTCTGTGCAAATAATGGGTTAATATCATTTAACTCGTATACTGATCTTCCATATGAATGCTCTCTTGTTCTTTGGCACATTTAATTGTGTATTATTGACAGCTGTCTTGTTTTCCATGTCCTGTCCTCTGTCTTGTTAATGTACTGTTCTGTGTTGCAATAAACAAAAAGGCCTGAGTTCAGCTGGAATGCATGATTTATTTTGCAGTACTTGCCTCTCAGAGGTTTTAGGTTCCTGTCTAGCACTGTGCTCCATCT